CTTCAGGCCAGTTCTACTCCAGCCTTAGCGACCTGCCATTTGTCACTGGGGGTGGCTTCTGGGCAGTGGGCAGCATCCGCGCTTGCATTCCATCTCGTGCTGTGTTTAGCCTACCCCCCTCCCGGGGCGGGATGGGAGTCAGGGTGGAGGGGGATGTCCCCATTCAGTGACTTAACGCCAAAGACAGCACCTGTCAGCAAGTAGACACCGAGAATGGGGAGAGAGAGAGAGAGAGGGAGAGACTTGAGCATGGGAACCAACTCCAAGTTCTTCCAGGGCCCTCCCCCAGAGGGGAGCAGTGCACCCAGCCCGTCCTGGGACACACGGATCTACCCTGTATCAAGCATGTTGGGTGTCATCCCGCAGTCCACCTGGCTAGTTTTGTATAGAACCAACCACCGGAAGCAGAGCTGCCACCCCTGTCGCAGAGCTGTCACTGGTCCGAGCCGGCTGCCATGACTTCTGCAGAGTTTTTGTACTGCACCCGACACCAGATTGGGAAGGGCATCTCTTTGCCATAACCCTGCTAACTGCTAGGATGAATGTATAGCAAACCTGTACAGGCTCTTACTGTAAACAGCACAAAACACACACACACACACACAAAAGCAGAAGCTGACATGTGGTAATTCTTTTTAAAAGAACTATAAATACTGTAATATATCATTTTATTTTATTGGCATGCTTTTTTTTTGTAAATACCAATTACTAACTTATTAAATAGGAAATGGCTTCTGGCTTATGCCACTGTCATGTTTATTTTTATTTTTTTATACTTTTCTTTCTTCTTAGATGCTGTCCGCCAATGTACATCCCCAAACCAAACAGACAAAAAAAAATTTTTTTTATTGCTAATGATCTTTTCCAAAACGACAATATATATACATATATATATATATATTTTTGTTCCAATGTGCAATAAATTCTAACCACTTCTATGCAAGATCTGGCTAAACTCAATCATTGTCTCAGATGGGTGAGACAGGCCCTGCGGTCGGGTCCTGCTGGATGTGCACTGGGCCTGTCTGGATGCCCTGGAACCTCCGCACGGGATTCTTTGGAGGCCTGCCTGCCCCTCCCCGGTCCTAAGCACACCCGCTGCCTTTTTCCCCAATATCTCCTGGGCCTGGCGCACAGACTCCCCTCCCAGCCAGCTTCCTGGGCAAGAAGCCACCCTGCCTGCCTCCACACCACCCCCCCACACACACACCACACCTCCACACCTCGCCTCACTTTTCTTTCTGCCTACTATCACCCCTCCCCAACTCGCCCCCCCACACTCACCCATCCCACTCTGCACTCCTTGGGTAGTGAAACGAAACCATCACCAGCAGTCCACACCCGCAGTTAACAGGCATGAAGCAAGCAAGCAAGGGGTCGGGTTTGCATGTCCCCACGGAGGCGGTCAGCAGCAGCCACAGCATCACTGCGTGTGCGCACGCGCGCACACACACACACACACAAATATATATGGAAATATATAAATAGAGTATAAATATTTATTTTTTTGTAGCCAGGTCCTTGGTGCAGTATTTATATTCCACAATCCACCTTTCAAAAAAAAAAAAAAAAGGACAAAAAAAGCAAAAAGATGCTGTTCATCCCAAACACAGAGCAGGCACTGGTTTGGGTGTGCAGGCCGCCCTGCCCCCTTCCTCCTGATGCCCCCAGGGGTTCAGCTGGATGGACTCCTAGGCAGCCAGCGCTGTGGAAGGCAGGACGGGGGGCACAGCAGGGACATCCTCCTCTCCCTCTGGCACCCGGCGTTGCCTGCTGGCAACAGCCCTCGAATGCCAGCACCCAGGGCCCCTGTCACTTTTTCACCACAACCAGTGTAGACTGTGCACTGGCTAGAGGTGAGATGCACAGAGCAGGGGCTGCTGCGAGGTAGAGGCCAGGGCCGCCCTCCCCAGGAAGCCATCAAAAGTCCAACAACACTGCACTAAGCGAAAAGGAAACGAAATAAAAACGACCCTTTTTCCTGTACAAGGGAAGCCTGTCTTGGTGTTTGTTATTTGTCTCTCTCTCTTTTTTTTTTTTTTGTTTAGTCACCTGGGAGGAGCGGGCTGGGAATTGGGAATTTAGCACATCTTGGGGACAGGAGCGAGGGGGGCGGGCGGGGCAGACAGGAGTCAGAATACCTCTTGCGATGTTCCAAGCCAGGCTGAAGCTTAGGGAGAAGAGCCAGGTCCTGCACCCACCCCCAGACTTGCCCATTGCATGCGCCATTCTCCCCCACCCCACCCCACTGGGTCCATTCAAGCCCAGCCCCGCGCCAGCTGGGTTGGCCCAACTTGCCGTCTCAGTAGGCTGTGCAAAACATGACCCCATGATGCCCAACACACCCACCCCCACTCTGCTCGCCGCTGGCTGGGTCTCCCTGCCCACACCTGCTGGGACTGGGGACACGGAGCCCTCACCCCAACGCTGGGGACATTCTCAGACTGTGTCCCCTGGTCCACTCTAGTCCACCCCGGTGGCTCCGCACTGAGGGATGGTAACAGTGGCTTGGCAGTAGGTCACATGCCTTCCTCCACCTTCTTCCCCCTCTTCCCTTCTCACACCCCCCACCCCACCCCCCGGCCCCCAGCCTCCAGGCCTGCTGTGTGGCTTCTGATTATATGACAGGAGGCCCAGGTGTCTTCAGGCACGATGCCTTTTTCTTTGCTCAGATGTTGCCCAAAGTTTTGCAAAAAGACTTGTTCATTTTCAGGTACATCCCCTACTCCAACCCACTTCCCATCCCCCTAGAAAATCTGCTGAGCCACAGTCAGCTGCGGGGGGGTGGGGGAGGGAATGGCAGGAGAAAAGAGGAAGCCATGTGGGCTGGGGGATGCCCCACAGCCTGCACCCTTGGTTGCGCTGCTGCCCGCTCCCCTGAGGCACCCCGCTGTACCCCCACCTTTGCTGCTGTGTGCTGTACATAGAGGCTGTGTGGGGGTGGGGTGGGCAGGCGTGCACATGCATGTGTGTGTGTGTGTGTGTGTGTGTATGTGTGTAGAATGTACATAGATTATGGGGAGAGTGGTCCAGTGGTGCCAGAAGAGGGACGGAAGGGTGTCCCAGTCCCTGGCTCGGCCGCTGGCTCGCTTGTGTGGCCTTGGGCAAGTCACTTACCCTCGCTGTGCCTCAGTTTCCCCATCTGTCAAATGGGGATAATAATACTGACCTACCTCACAGGGGTGTTGTGAGGCTTCAACTTCATGGTTTTTTTGTACAAGCGTTTGGAGATGCAGAGGCCGAGGCGCTCGGGAAGGACTTGGGGGAGACGCGATGGTACCCGTGTGTGCTGCTATTCTGAGAGCCATTTGAAACTGCACTGCTCCAACCACCCCCGCATCTCATCACCAGGACAGCAGGTCGAGACACGGCCTTCCTTCCACCCGCTTCCGGGGTTTGCCACGACGATGACAACTCTAGACAACAACAACGGAGTTTTTTTTGTTCCCCTCGCTGTATCTCCCGCCCTCACCCCCTCCCCCTCGACTTGTTCCCCTGTTCTGTTTCAATGAGGAAACGGCAGAAATGCTTGAGCAATGAGAATGTACACGTGGATTGGAAGTTTCTAGTCTGAAATTTCAACTTTACTTTGTACTGTACATCTTTTTACTTTAGAATTTGCAATAAAGGGTTCCGTCAATCTTGTTTTCAACTCTCCTCTTGCATGGGCGTGCCTTTCTTGTCGTGTGGCTGTCACAAGGGCCGTCCCTTCCGCCCACCTGTGTGGACACACAGCTCTCCCCTTGTGGCAGGCAGCATGGGGGGGGGGGGGTTGTATGTGATGCACGCCTCCCCCAGGGTCAGCTCCTTGCCTGGGCTGGTCCTGCCCCCACAGCTTGCTGGCCACTTGCGAGTGGGTGGAAAGGCTTGGGCATTCCGTGGGAACCCCAAAAGGGGTTCCCTGCCTGGATGGACAGAGCACCCCAGAGGCAGCAGCCCCTGCAAGCAGACACCCCCTTTCCCCCAGTACACTCCAGCACAGCCTCAGGCAGAACCCAATGTTTGGGTTGGGGCGGGGGGGCGGGGGGGGGGGAGAGAGAGCTGCTGTCTCCCTCAGGTCCTTAGTCAAGGAAACAGCCTGCTCCCTTGGGCTCTCCAACCCGACAATCCCTGGTTCAAACGCTGACACATTCAGGGCACACTTAAGACTGCCTCTTGGGGGAGCCAGTGTGATGGCTCCGTAGTTCAATTCACTAATCCTCAGTAAGTTCTGGGATCTCATATGGGTGCCAGTTCATGTACAGCTCTGTGTTTATGGCCTGGGAAAGCAGCAGAGGATGGCTCAAGTCCTTGGGACGTGGGAAACCCAAAAGAAGCTCCTGGTTTCGGATCATCTTAGCTCCAGCCGTTGTGGCTGTTTGGGGAGTGAATCAGTGGACGGGAGATAAATTCTCTCTCTCCTTATCTCCATAAATCTGTGTTTGCAATAAAGATAAATCTAAAAAAAAAAAAAAAAAGACTGCCTCTTCAAGGTTCAAGGGCAAGCATTCCACAACCTAGTGCGTGCTCAACTGGTTCCGGTTCCACCTCCAACTGCAGTTTCCTGTTAAGGTGTATCAGAGCAGATGGTGGCAGGTGTGACACTTCAAGTACTCAGTCCTGACCCCTACTTTTACCATGGCCCAGGAGCTGTTGGGCCTTTGGGGAGTGAACCAGCAAAATGGGGGACCTTTCTCGCCTCTCCTTTTCAAATCAGACTTTTAAACAGCTAACAATGCCACCACGGCGCTGTGGCCAGTTTCCTTGTATGGAATGGCTTTTGGGGTTTTGAGAGGGCAGTCCAGGACTGCTCAGCACTAGCGCGGGGCACAGAGTTCACGCTCAACGGCTGGCTGCGCCTGCAGTGCTCCGGAGGGCAGGCCCCCATGCTGGAACTCACACCAGAACCGCCTCTTGCCCTGGCCACGGAGCGCGCGTTTCCCGTGAACGGACAAATCAACTGCTCCCTCCGGGCGGTGTTTCATGACCTTTATCATCAGCCCGAGGTCCGAGGTGCCCGCTCACGGCCGAGGGCATGGAGGAGCCGGGGCATCGGGTCGCCGCGCAGCCCAAGCCGAGCGGGCCCGCCCCGCCGGCGACACGTGCAGCAGCGGCTGAGCTTCGCACGAGCCGCGCGCCTTGGCGGATCTGCGCCTGGAAGCGGCGAGCGGGCCGGGGCTGCGGGGCCAGCCGGGGTGGTCGTCGTCGCCGCCCGTCACCCGCAGCGTGAGCAGGAGCGCCAGCGCCGCCGCGCCCAGCGCCCCGGCGAAGCCGCCGAGCAGGCCGAGCGCCAGCGGCGGGACCCAGCCCGCGGGGCTCCGCTCGTACGGGGGCTGCGGCAGGCGCTCCAGGATCAGCTCCAGCTCGTCCCAGTCGGGCTCCGGGGAGCGCCGGGAGCGCAGGGCCGGCACGGGGGCCGAGGGCGCGGCGGGGCCCGGAGGCGGCGGCGCCAGGAAGCCCTGCCCGAACTTGCGCAGCTGCAGCGTTGCCTGCTGGTGCAGGTTCTTGCCCAGCTCCCGGGCCACGTCCGGGCGGCCGCAGCGCCGCAGGGCGCGGGCCACGCGGTCCCACGACAGGGACGGGGCCTCGGCAGCCAGCCACACCGCCAGCGCCTCCCGGCAGCCGTCGGACACCTCCTCCCGGTCCCCCGGGGCCTCCCGCCGCTGCCGCCGCCGCAGCCGGGCCGGAGACCCTACCGTGGGCTTCACGGGCCTGGGCCGCGCCAGCCGCTCTTCCGAAAGCCTGGCCAGCTCGGCCTCCACGTCGGGCTCGGGCGCCTGCAGCAGCGAGCGGAAATGGCCGCATTCCTCTGGAGTGAGCAGCTCGGCCAGGCGGATGGCCGCGTGAGGGCCCATGGCGTCCAGGGCCGCCCCGGGGCTCAGGCCCCAGTCCCAGAACACCAGGACCAGAGCCAGCGCTGCCATTATGACCAGGGCCAGGGGTTGCGACCAAGCAGGTCTGGGCGAGGAAGGAACTCCGAATGCCCGCGGTGGGGGAAGGGCTTGCGCCCCATTGTGGGTGGGAGGGGCCGGGAGGAAGGAGTGGACAGGGAGGGGGTCACCAAAGGCTTGCAGTACCCGTGGGTACCTCACCCAGAGATTCTGGGCCTTTCTATGGCAGTACCTGTCCCTCTGGACTCCACATGCATCGCCATTTAAGACACTGCTTGGTTCAGGTGCTATCCTAGCTGCCTGCTAACGTACTCCCTGGGGAGCACTCAGCGCCCTTGCCACCCCTGGGGGAGAAGCTCCTGGTGACCCTTGTGGGCATTGGGGGAAGGAACCATCAGAAGAAATTCTCTCTCCCTCTTTCTGCCTTTCTAATACTAACGGTTACTGAGCAAGACCCACCACTCCAACAGAAGCCCTCTGCCGCCTCTTCTCCATCACACCCGTCCCATCTCCCTGGCACCATTCTCCCACACTTGCCCTCCTCTGCTCCTCTGGATGTGGGAGACAGCGCTTCCAGCCCCGCATCCCCCACGCCAGGGCTCTGCTGGCCTGGACTCACTTCCTCCCTCCCAGCACTGGCTGTCCTGCAGGTGCTGCTCTGCTGCCCCACTGCCTGGGTCCCTGCCCCTGCTGTCAGTCACCTTGTCTGCCACATCTCCCTTGGGCTAGCCTCCTTCCTGTCCTCAGGGTACCCTATAAGATTGGCCAAGGTCCCCTCCTGGTCCCCATAGACTCAATGCAGAATAACTAACTTCTATAAAGATACATTGAATCCACCAATATGTGAGTGAATGAATCTTAAGAAGCAGAGAGAGCTCCCAGCCAGGCACCAAAGCAGTCTGAAGCAGCCACGCCTGGGCTGGAGTCAAGAGCCAGGAGCTCAGCAGGACTCCTGTGTGGGAGCCCAGTTCAAGCCACACCACTGCCTCTCCCAGGGTCGGCCTTGGAATTTGGACCCAGGATTTGACTTGTGGCATTCTGACACACTAAGCTAAATGATCATCCCAGGAGCCCAGCACTACAGCTCAACTGGCTAATCCTCTGCCACACTGGCATCTCATATGGGCACCAGTTCATGTCTCAGCTGCTCTGCTTCCCATCCCGCTCCCTGCTTGTGGCCTGGGAAAGCAGTCGAGGACAGCCCAAAGCTTTGGGACCCTGCACCTGCCTGGGAGACCCGGAAAAAGCTCCTGGCTCCTGGTTTTGGATCGGCTCAGCTCTGACCGTTGCAGCCATTTGGGGAGTGAACCAGCAGATGGAGACCTCTCTGTGTAAATCTGCCTCTCCAATAAAAAGAAATCAATCCTTTTTTTAAAAAAATAAAAGGTCCACCCCAGGTTGTGAATTCTTGCCAAGTCCCTGTCCACAGCCCCCTCCTGTCCTCTCTGCCTCCACAGAGGCTTGCTGGGGGTGTGAAGGTCCCAGTGATGAGGTCCAGCCCCTCCCCCGCTCCCCTCCCCCACCTCTGCCCGCTTCTGCTGCCCTCCCACCCGTGCACACACGGGATGTACTTTCCCTGACCCTCACCACCACCTGGGCATGACCGGAGACCACCTGTGAGTCTTCTCTGGTAGTGCTCACCTGGACACCAGAGATGGCAGTCAGTGTTTCTCGAGGGTCTTCTGAACACCGTTCCAGCTGTGAGAATACAGACAGACATCCAGCCCCCTCCCCCAAGCACCATCATCCAATTGTCTTTTATTTGAGTCAATTATTTGAGGGTAGGCGATTGAGAGTGCTGCCACCTAGTGGTTTATCCCCAAATGTCCATAATGGTTTTGCCCAAAGCCAGGAACTGGGACCCGCAAACAGGCCTGCCACAGGAGCCTGCCTGCTTTGGGCCCACATTAGCAGGAAGCTGGGGTCAGGAGCTAGCACTGGGTATCAAACTTAGGCACTCCTATGTGGGGTGCAGGTGTCCAAGCCAGCATCTTCACCAGCAGGCCCAGTAACCTCTAGTTGCATTCTCTCAATGTTCTTTTTTTAAAAGATTTATTAATTTTTACTGTTAAGGGGATCCAGAGAAGGAGAGACAGAAAGATCTTCCAGCCACTGGCTCACTCCCCAAATGGCTGCAATGGCTGTGACTTAGCAGATCCAAAGCCTAGAGCAAGGAGTTTCTTCCTGGTCTCCAATACGGGTGCAGGGGACCAAGGCCTTGGGCCATCCTCTGCTGCTTTCCAGGCCTCAAGCAGGGAGCAGGATAGGAAGTGGAGCAGCCAGGGTCCGAACCAGTGCCCATATGGGATCCTGGCGCTTGCAGGGGAAGGATAAGTCAATTGAGCCATGGTGCCATGCCCTTGGTTGCATTATCTTTAAGCATGGATTTATTTATTTATTTATTTATTTATTTATTTATTTATTTATTTATTTATTTATTTATTTGAAAGGGTTATGGGCAAGGGAGAGTGAAAACTGGTTTATTCGCTGGTTCACTCCCTAAAAGGCTAGAACAACCAACACTCAGGTCATCCCACTGCTTTCCCAAGTACATCAGCAGTGAGCTAGATCAGAAACGGAGCAGCTGGGACCTGAACCAGCACCCCTGGAGATGCCAGCCTCAGATGCCACAGTGCTGACTGCCACACCCACCACTTGGGACCCCACCTGGGCCACCTGTGCTGGGCTGTGGGCTCTCCAGGAATAGTGGCTGCATGTGACCCTTTCTGTACCCTCAATGCCGCCCACAACAGCTGCACTCAGCGGAGTACAACTCCAGGGCGCCAGGAAGCAAGTTGGGCCTCCATGGCCAAGGGCCACCCATCGCCGGAAGGCTGAACCCAGGAGCCACACCCCTGGGCCCTGGCACACCTGCGTGTGTCTCCCTGAGGGGAGGGACGACCTAGCCTCCTGTAGGCCTGGCTCAGTCCCAAGCAGGGTGCCAGGGCACACGGCTTCCCCTGAGCCCTCCTCCATTTTCAAGGATTTTTTTGGGAGAAGCAGGCGTCTCCCCTAGCAGTGCACACATTCCAGGTTGCTGACCTGGGTGGGCTTCTGGCTGATGCAGACTCTGGCAGGCAGTGGGGGTGGCTCCAGTGCAGCCGGCAGGAGTTCCCGCCTCTTGGCATCAGCCCGGCTCCCCAGGCCCTGGGGCACTGAGCCAGCCTGGCGCTCGGTCTGCTTACTGCGATCTGCTCTGAGCACTGGGGGTGGGGAGGCCTCCAGAAGCAGTGCTCACCTGTCAGTCTCCCTGTTGATAGTGAGCTGCCAGTCAGGACTGCTGGATGGTTGGGGGAAGGAGGCTAGAGGGTCACCTGTGACCTGAAGTGCTGGGATGTGGCTGGCCAACCCGCAGAACGGAACAAAGATAAAGACAGCCCTGGCTCTGCTCAGGGAGGGCTACCGTAGGGTGTGGCTCTTCCTACATGTACTCATTCATTCATGCTGTTCTTTGCCCCACGTACAGCAGAGCTTTGGGCACCTGGAAACGGCCTTCCTCCATCCCACCAAGCCCGAGCTTCTCACCCTGGAGCCTCACTCCCCCACCGGCCTCCTCCCTGCCAGGTGCTGCAAAGGCTAAATAAGTCCCGTGGGCACTTTTTTTGCTGAAGGAACAGAAACACCCCCCAGGGGCTGCCCAGCCGTTCTCTGAGGGCTCCCAACATCCAGCTGCCCCCTCCTTCCCCTCCCCCTTGCAAGAAATCGCCAGGAAACCACCTGTCATCACTTTAATACTGTGTGATACTTTCTTTTAAAATACAGTCTCTTCTGAGGTAGACATGCCACAACTGCAGAGCATCGTCAGACAGGAGATAAATACGTCCATGTACAACACGCAGCAAAATGAGGTAGAAATGGTTACAGCTGCAGGATGGGGGTCTGGCCAGGCTACCCCAGGCCGCCCTTCCCCGCCGCTGGCCCTGGGATTCTTTGGTATGCCCCCCACCGACACTGCTAGGGCTGAACATGCCCCAGTGCCCAGAATGTAGGTGCTGTAGTCTAGGGGGCTGTGTCCTTGTGCAAAGTACCCCCCAACCCCATACCTGGGGAACCAGAAGAGCATGGCAGAGGGCACCAGGGCCTTGGTCAGTGAGCTCCCATCCACTCCCAGGGCCATCTGCCTCCTAGAGGAAGACAGGGATGTGGGTCCCAGCCTGCCTCACCCACCTGCCCCTTGTGCGTGCGCACACACCTGAGAGAGAACCCCTGGCTCCTCCCCCGCCCTGCCAGGCTGGCTGGCAGAAGAGAAGGGTCAGGAAGAGACCGAGGGGCAGAAGCAAGCAGCTTTGCTTGTCAGTGCTGCTGGGCCAGCCCTGGCCCTTGGCACCTTGACACCTGGAATGTCCCCCAGGGACATTCTCCCAGCCCAAGAAGGTGGTGGTGGTATACAGATTCTAAAGGAGCTACCAGGGCAGGGAGGAGGGCTGCGGTGAGAGAAGCAAAAGTAGGGAAGGTGCCCAAGAGCCATGAAGCAGGCTGGGACACCAAGTCCTGCCCCTCCCAGCAGCCTGTGGGGGCAGGAAGCAGAGGAATCAGGGACCAGGCTGGCGGCTAGTGTGTCTGGGGATGGCAGACTAAGCCCTCCAGGGTGGACCCCCGCTCCAGCCCCCGTCCATCTTCACCCTCACCTGAGCTCAAACCTAGACCTGGTGAGAACCCGAGGTGGTCCTCCATCCCTGGAGGATCCTCTTGGCAAGAGTTACCAGCGACCTCGGCCCTGGGCAGGGCCAGGTGAGGTGGGCTCTGGGGGTGACTTTCTGTCTGCGACCTCCATCCCTTGGGGGGTTGCCACCCACCCCACCTCGCCCCCAACCTCAGCCTACTTGCTAGGCTTGGGGGTAGGAAACCCACAAGGGGATCCCAACTCTGGGTTAACCCTCTCCCAGAAGACACTAGGCCAGGGACAAGGGGTGGGGGTGGGGGAAAGCAGCAGGTACCCCCCAGCCCTGCCAACGGGACCAGGGAAGAGGTCCTGAGCAATACATTCAGCTTCTAAGAGTCCCAGCCCCAGGGCTCTGGGGCATCCCTGGGCCTGCCCGAGGCCAGCCTGCCAGGGAGGGAGGATGGGCGGGGCAAGGGTGGGGCACCCGCCGAGCAGAGCAGCCAAAATCTAACATTCTTTCTGAGGTCAGTTTCTTCCTGAGTTGTTTAAAAAAAAAAAAAAAAGCAAAATGCTACACATCTTACAAAAATAAGAGGCCTAAGAAGTCCAAGAAGCTACACTTCTGGGATTTCTCCTCAAAAACCAAAAAAATTAAAGATAACAATAATAATAAAAAAAGAACCTCTTCTTCTTTGGGCTTTGGGTGTTTTTTGTTTTTCTTCCCAGCTGAGTAGGGGGATCATAGGGGTGGGTTGAGGAGGGAAGCCCCCTGAGTCTCCCCACCCCCTCCAACACACAAACACACACTCCCAGCCCCGGGGTGGGGTGGGGCAGGTCAGAGACAGCAAGTCAGAAGGAGAGTGACAGAAGGCAGGCAGGGACCCCCGAGGCTCGGGGAAGCGGCAGAAGAAAAACGGGGTGCCGGCAACAGAGCGGAGCGGTTAACAGAGGCATGAGGCCAGGAGGGGACAGGGATGGCGGCGGGGTGGGAGTCCCTCTCGAGGTGGGACGAAGATGGCGTGCCTCCCCTCCGCAATAAATAGGAAAAACCTGAGAACGTGGCGCAGCTGGCATCTGGCCCCGCGTGCACCAGAAACGTTTCACACCCAAGAGAACTCCACCAGCAGGGCATCCCTCACCCCACGCGCGCCATTCGGACGCCCTCCCAGCCCACTTTGGCCAACCATGTTCCCACAAGCCGAGGAGGAGCAGGAGTGCAGAGGCAGGAAGGGCCGCTTGCCGCCCGCATGCCCTCAGTGTCCGGAGCCGTACATTTTGTCCCACTCCACGAACGAGTCCAGCTCCTTGGGGGACACCCTGGGGCCCACCTTGCTCAACGCCGCCTCCAAGTCCTTGTAGGAGAGGGGCCGCCGCAGCCCCGGGAGCCCCGCGGCGGCCGCAGCTGCCTGCTGGCACAGCTGTCCCAGCTCGGCCCCGGAGAAGCCCTGGGTGCCCTGCACGAGGGCAGCCAGCTCCCGCTCGCTCAGGGTACAGCCCTGCTGGGACAGCAACCGCTGCAGGATCTGCCCCCGGGCCGGGCCGTCGGGCAGCGCCACGTAGAAGCGCAGTGCGAAGCGCCGGCGGGTCGCCTCGTCCAGGGCCGCGGGCCGCGCTGTGGTGCCCACGACCAGCACGCCGTCGGTCCCCGCGCCGCCGCCGTCCAGGCAGGCCAGCAGCGGCGCCTGCAGCGCGCCGTCGTCGCGGCCGGCCAGCAGCGCCTCCAGCTCACTGATGAGCAGCACGGCGGGCGGCCGACAGCGCGCGGCGGCGAAGGCGGCCTGGAGCAGGCCTGCGCCCTCGGCGGCGCCCGGAGCGGCCAGGGTGGCACCGCGCAGACGAAGCAGCGAGGCGCCCAGCTGCGTGGCCAGGCAGCGGCCCAGCAGCGTTTTGCCGACGCCGCGCGGCCCGAAGAGCAGCAAGGTCCGCGGCGGGCGCGGGCTGCCCGGGTAGGCAGGCGGCCTCAGCAGGGGCCACACCAGCTCCTCCTCCAGCGCCGCCTTGAGCGCGCCCTGGCCCGCCACGTCGGCCCACTGCACCGGCGGTCCGCAGTCCAGCATCTTGCTGGTCACCAGCTCCAAACCTTTAAGAGGCTCCCCCGACGGCACGGCGAAGCCCCCGCGGGCAGCCGGCACCGGTGGCCGCTCAGAAAACTTGTCAAAGGGCTCAAGCTGCGGGCCGTAGACCGGGGACCCCAGGACCTTGAGCGACACGCCGGTCCCCGAGTATTTGCTCGACGACTCCTCGGCGGCTGCCGACAGCGGCTTCGCCCGGAACCCGTTGCCCCGACCCTCGCCGTTGTCCACGGCAGGATAGGCGGCGCCGTCGGCCGCGGGGGCTTTGGCGGGCTCGTATGCATACTTGCGGTAGCGGCCCTCCGCGCCCTCGTCGGCGGCCTTGCGCTTCAGTGACACGCTGCCTTCGGTGCCTGGAGCGACGGTCTGGAAGCCGTAGGAGGCGGGCGCAGGGCGCGGCGGCGTGGGCGCGGGCAGGGGCGTGGGCGCTGCGAGGCCGGAGGGCAGGTAAGGGGCTGGGGGTGCGGCCGGGGGCGGCGGGAGGGCGCCGTAGCCGGGCTGCGCGGCCGCGTAGCCGCCCGTGGGGTAGTTATAGAGCGGCCCCGACGGGCCGTACCCCGGTGGGGGAGGCGGCTGCAGCAGCGCGGCCGGAGGCGGCGGCGGAGGCGGCGGGGGCAGCGCGGTGCCGGTCTGCGTGCAGTAGCTAGGCGCCAGGTAGCCACTTGCGTATCCCGCTGCGTATTCGGGCGCTGCTGTCGCCACCGACGGACCTCCGCAAGCGTTGCCGGCATACAGGGGTTCAGGTAAGTTCCCTGCTAAAACCGGGGAGCCTCCTAGGCCCCCCGACCCACCCCCGCTCCCTGACTTGGTTCCCGCGAGGCCCTCGTGCAGGGAGGCCAAGGGATAGGGCGGCTCAGGCCCAGGCCAGGGCTCCGGGTCCCCCTTGGCACCGTTGAGGAAGGCGGCGTCGCTGTAGCCTCCCAGGGCAGGGCGCTCATAGGGCGAGTCCAGGACCCCCGAGTATTTCTCTGCGTAGCGCTTCAGGAGGTTGGAGGCCGTGAGGGCGGAGATGTCGTCGTGTGCCCAAGCATAGTGACAGCGCTGGCGACCAGTCGGGGGCAACTCCAGCTTGTGAGCCGGCGACGGGGTGGTGGAGGACACGTCGAGGTGTTGCTCCGGCCACTGGTTGTGGGGCTGGGCGTGTTCCGGTGTCCAGTGCATCTTCGACAGAGCTGCGGGTGCGAGGGAGAAAGAGGCGCAGCAGGTGAGGGTCTGCAGGCAGCCCGGAGCCCTCCCTGCAGCTCCACCAGCTAGAAGCACCCACCACCTGCCTCCCACACACTCTGGGGCAGCCTGCCTCTGCCCCCCCCAGCCCCCTTCCTGTCCCAGAATTAAAATGGTGTAGAAATATTGCTCTTGGAGCCAGTGTATAGGCGGTGGCTATGCGTTTGTCCTGGCCAGCCACTGGCCATGCCCCCTTTGGGGACTAGTGAAGGGTCAGAGGAGCGTGGGCATAGCCTGATCCCGAGCATAGTCCAACCCAGGCCAGACTCCTAGGGAACAGGTGTGTGCTGGCTGCTCACACACTGTCCCAAGGCCCAGGCCCCTCAGCTCACCCTAGCCATCCCTGAGATTCCAAGGAGTCTGTCAGCAGATAGAAGTTCTCTGTCTCTTCCATTTCTCTTTTTCCATTTCAGATATTTTTGAGGCCTAGTGCAATAGGATAGTGGTTAAAGTCCTCGCCTTGCACGTGCCAGGATCGCATATGGGCACTGGTTCTAATCTCGGCAGATCCACTTCCCATCCAGCTCCCTGCTTGTGGCCTGGGAAAGCAGTCGAGGACAGTCCAAAGCCTTGGGACCCTACACCTGCATGGGACACCGGGAGGAGCTCCTGGCTCCTGGCTTTGGATTGACTCAGCTCCAGCTGTTGCACTCACTTGGGGAGTGAACCATCGGACAGAGGTCTTTCTCTCTGTCTCTCATCCGCTCTGTATATCTGCCTTTCCAATAAAAATAAATAAATCTTTGAAAATATATTTTTTTTCAAAGATTTATTTTTACTGGACAGTCAGATATACAGAGACAGAAAGAGTTCCCATCCACTGGTTCACTCCCCAAGTGGTTGCAAGGTGAGAGCTGAGCCAATCTGAAGCCAAAAGCTTCCTGGATCCTGGAAGCATGCAAGGTGAGGATTTAGCCACTAGACTATCCCTTCGGGCCTTCAAATAAATAAATCTTAAAGGCATGAGCCAGACTCTGCCACGAGGGATGTGGAGCCTGGACAAATGCAGGATCTCAGCCTGTGGCTCCAGTGGGAAGGCCTTGTTCTAGAACAAAATCTCCAAGATGGAAAGGACACACAGTTGACCCGGAGACAGTTTCTGATGTGGATCACTACTCCAACCTAAGCTTTTCATGGGAAAAGTCACACGTCACAGGCTCACGTGTTCTCATCATCTTCTGCAAAAATTTTTTTATTGCGTTAACTTGCGAGTGCTTTGCTAAAACATGGGGCCAGGTGGGCAGGTGGATGGCAGCCTCTGCAGCGTGCGGCAGCGGGAGTGTGGGCCTTGCAGCTCAGGCCAGCGTGCAGCCCCTGATTAGGAGACCTCAGCTTGGCCTGAGCTGCCCTGACAGGTCGGAAGCAGCAGGATACCCCAAGGCACAGCACCCCCAAAGGTGCATAGTGTAATGGATCAGAATCGGCATCTGTGTCACCTGCCTCCCGTGGCAGAGTCCCTGGCCTCCAGTCCCAGCCCTGCTGCTGACCAGGGTGCACCCAGCGTGGGAGACCTGGATTCAGCTCCTGGATCCAGGCTTAGGTCTAGCTCAGCCCTAGCTGTTGCAGGCATTTGGGGAGTAAAGCAACAGATGCAAATGGTACATGAATTTTTGTGATCAACTAAGCCAGAGCTGTGAGCCTTCCTCTTCCTCAAGGCGCCTCTGGGAAACTGTCCCAATAAGTCCTCAAATCCGTGTGCAGTATGATTTGTATCCCCATTAGATGTAGAGCTTGGAGCACAAGCAATTCCAGCCACCCATGGGGATGCCCGCATCCCACATCGGAGAGGCAGTCCTGACTCCTCCACTTCCAGTCCAACTTCCTGCTAAGATGCGGCCTGGAGGCAGGCGGGGATGGCTCAAGTCCCGGAGCCCCGTCAGGCACACGGGAGACCAGGATGGAGTTCCAGGCTCCCTGCTTCAGCTTGACCCAGCCCCGGATGTGTCAGATATTTGAGAAATGAACCAGCAAGATGGATGATGTGTCTCTGTCTCTCAGCCTTTGTGATAAATTAAAAACGAAAAGGTCGGAGCAAGCGAAGTAACAAAAGGGCAGTCTCCTATATAGATCAAAGCCTCACCAAATTCTCTCTCCATGGCCATGACCTGACACTGGTGGCAGAGGACAGCCTGTAAACAAAGCCACTCTCGTTTTCATTATCCCAGAGAAGGTGTCACGGCCCCATCCGAGGTCCAACCTTGGCTCCCTCCAGAAGGCAGGAGGCGAGAAGGCACAGCCAAAACAGCTCTTGTCGGCAGACAGGCGGTGTTATCTGGTGTAACGGGAGCAGTTTCCAGAAACACCCAAGTCCCGGGAGGCTGTGGGTGTGCAGGAATCAAGCCCTGCATTGCTGGCAAGGACCTCAAACCTACATGGAGCTTGGTTTTCCTCTGTTTACCAGTAGCTCTGCTTGGGCTAAGAAAGCCCAGGAAAGGCAGAGAGCTGGCCCCTGGGCTAGGGGAAGGCTCCAACTGCAGAGAATGACGCAATGTGCATTTCCAAACAGCTGAGGGCCAGGACTCCAAAGGCAAACAAAGGAGTGGTCATTCCAGCTCCCCAGACTGTGGGCTGAGCACCCAACCGCCAGCTCCAACCCCGGCCTCCAGCAGCCCTGTGAGAGTGCACACCCTCAGACCAACCCTGCGAGCCCTGGTCAGCTCCTGCCACAGACACAGCAGGTCCCGCCAGCCCTCCTGTGCACCTGCGCCCCAGCTCTGGGCCGCTGCTTTGCGTCCGCTCCCAGACTCTGGCGCTACTGACCCCTTCCGCAGAGGACGCTCCCTCCAGGGCTTGCTGGCTGCCCCAGTCTCCTCCCAAGCTGGCCCTTCCGCCCCTTCCACTCTGCATGAATCTCTGCTCATTTTAGCCAGGAAAGAAAAGCAGAAAGCCATCGAGTCCATCTCCCCCTGCCTCTGGCCCTGTTTTTCACCTGGAGGTCCACCTGCAGGCTGTTGGGTTGACCCTCGGGCCATAGCTGCCCTGTGCCAGCCCCACCCTTGGCAAACCCGGGCTTTCCTATGACCCCATTGACGCAGCCCCACCCCCCTGCTCGCCTCCTTCATTCCTGCTCCACGCACAGAAAGCTGTGAGAGGGCCTCTGCACGTGGGCCGCCCACCAGCAAGGCACAGCTGGCCCACAGCACCACTGACCTTAGTTCCGGATGGAGCCTGCGGGTCCCCCTACCCCCTTCCTTCTCTCAGGGCAAAGGACAAAGGTCTGGCACAAGGCGCAGGCTCCCCAGGAGGGCAGAAATCAGAGGCAGAGAGAAGTGAAGCCGTAGCCCAGAACGCAGTTCCCATGAGCCCAGGCACACCGGCTTGAGCGTGCACAGTGGCCCTGCACGTGTGCACAGCTCTCAGGGTGCCCCCACCCTGTCTCCAGGTCCATCACACCCTGACAGCCCCCCCCCCCCGGGTCCATCTCCTGCAGGGAGGAGCTCTCCAAAACCTCCTTCCATCTGGGTTCCCAGGCCACACCCTGCCTCCTCTGTGAGCTGGGGACCAGGTGAGGCCCCTGGAATGCGGTCAGTGGGGAGAGTACAGGCTTTGACTGGACTTGAGAAAGGCCAAAGCTCTGCCAACTCCCCACCATTGTCCTTGATGTTAAAGAGCCTATAGGGTGACCTTGAGGGACAAAGAAGGATGTCTGTGAGGTCCCCAGGGCTGTCCGTGAAGGACACACCCAGGGCCCTGGTTCTGCAGGTGATGCTGCCCGTGTCATTCCTGGAGAAGGGGAACATCTTTCATGGCCCCGAGTACCATCATCCCTAATGGAGGAGGAGACAGAGAGAGTATGGAAGCTTCGAGATCGGCTGTGGAGCTCAGCACCTCAGGCTACAAGGCCAGGCCTGGTGAGTCTGCCAGCCCTGCAGTTCCCTCTGCTCTTCTGGCCTTAGAGCCAGAAAGCTAGGGCTGTGATGCAGCTGACCCTGCTGCCTGACCATCTCAAGGCTGGGCAGACAGGGCTCTGTGGGTCCTGTGGCCTTCCCGGGTCGGGGCTGGGATTCTGGAATAGAAGAGGGAGGGGCCAGGGCCTTGCTGCTGACTCATGCAGGGCCCCTGTGCGTGTCGGAAGCTGGAGCAGTGCTGGGTTGCACCTGTGAAGTGCGGTGTTCCGGCTCACAGGCACCTGCACCTGGCAACAGTGGCTGGGTGCAGGGGGGAAGTAGACATACACACGCACTGTTTAAGAAGGCTTCCAGCACCAGCAGGAGGTATAGGCCTTGTGCCTCGGCAACCGCCTCTGCACCGTGCCACACCTGTGGGCCACATGGTCCAGCTGCCACGTGTCCTGAGGATGCCTCTTGGATGCCATGGGCCATATAGCTCTCCATACATCAGGCCTGATGCAGGCCTCCCATGCAACCGTACAAGCCACCTCACTAGCACCGGCACCGTCACTGGACAGCCAGACAGCTCACTTCACTCCACTTCCCTCCCTCAGTTTTCTGTCTGGATGACTGGCTTCGGCAGCTGGGCCTCAAGCATTTCCTTTTTGTCTAGAAACCTTTCAAATAAAGCATAGTGGGTTAAGCAACTGCTTGCAGCACCAGCTTCCACATCCCATATGGAGGACTGATTCCTCTGCTGGCTCCTTTAACTTTTTTAAGGCAGAGTTACAGAGACAAGAAGAGACAGAGAAAGAGCTCTTCTATCCACGGGTTCACTTCCCTAATGTCTACGACAGCGTGGCTGTGCCAGGCTGGAGCCAGGAGCCTGGAGCCTGGAGTTCCCTCAGGGACTCTCATATGGGTACAGGGGCCCAATATTTGGGCCATCCTCTGCTGCTTTCCCAGACACATTATTAGGGAGCTGGATGGGAAGTGGAGCAGCTGGGATTTGAACCAATACACATAATAAGATGTTGGCGTCTCAGGCAGCAGCTTAACCCACTCTACCACAGCTCTAGCACTGCCTCAGTCCCTGCCACCACGGGG